ACTTCGACCTACAGTATTCACTGCCATTCTAGTCCAGTCTTCACTGAAGACTCCAGTCAACACAAATTGTAACAAGCTGTATGGTAGTTCTGATGTGAACTAGAACAAATCAACAATTCATTCTCTAATGGCTTGCTCCAGAACTTGAGGTTCCAGATAGGAAAGGCACCACTAATCCATTGCACCACCTTCGTCGCAGTGGAAAAGCATTTTCACAGAAACGTGTATATTTCTACTACTGTCTATTCAAGCCTGGTTTAGGTGGCAAGGATGTGGTGTTCCGGTACAAAACAAAATGAAGCTTACAAAGGCACCTTTAGTTAGGTAAGAATGGGGACAGGTGTGGACTCCGGAAATTAGGAAGTGATTTTTAAAAAGGTTTCAGAGTAACAGCCGTGTTAGTCTGAAGTGAGCTGTAGGTCACGAAAGCTCATGCTCAAATAAATTGGTTAGTCTCTAAGGTGCCACAAGTACTCCTTTTATTTTTAAAAAGATCACCCAGGGTCCTTGGAGAGGAAAAAAAAAAAAGCTTCAATCTCCAAGTTAACCAGTGCCCAGAGAGAGCTTTGTGAAAATCAAAGGACTTTCTTTATTTAAAAAAAAAGAAACAACTTATTTGATTAGAAAAAAGGAATGCTTCAGTGATCCATAGTCAGAAATTAATCATGTAACTGAAATTTATATTCTGTTGATCAACTGCTTCATACTATATTAGACAATCACAAAAGGGCCAGGTTAATGTGACAGCAGCATGGTAATGTACTAACAACTAGAAAATTCAAATTCAGAAGTAAGCTCTGGATTGTCCCAGGACACTAGAAAGCTTGGGGCTGAATGTGTCATCATGTATAGGATGGAGACAGTGTCAGTGAGAGGCAGGATAAGTGGTAACATCCTACCAAACCCCTGCTGGCCTGTTCTCAAAGCAGTATTGCCATCAGCTTTGGCAGAGTACAGTACCTTATAAGTTGCCAGAAATAAGATGGGAATCAAACTAATCATACTGTGTTTTTAATCAACTTCCTGCTAGCAGCCACCATTTTGAGAATGGAATTCATTTGTTTTATGTTTATTAACATATTTCCTTCTTTTCTGGTTCTAAGGCATTGCATACAATGTTGGTATGGGCTTTAAAGGAAATAAAAATATTCACTAGAGCACAAATAAAGTTGTCAAGTTATTTCTTTGACGTCTCCCTTCCCCACAATCAACTCCTATAAGTCCAACTGGTATTTCAGCTTGTAATATTAACCCATGCATATGACTGCTTACTTACAAAGGTCCCAGTTCTGCAATGAGCTCTGCACAAATGGATTCCTGTCCTTGTGTAGAGAAAGCCCTTCCAAAGTCAATTGGAATCTGCCCACAGGATATCCATAACAGGATTGGGTCCTAAATTTGAGCAAAACACCTCTAGGTACCAAGAAAGATGGCTTGATTGGAGTACGTATGGCATAAGATATATGTTTGTGAAATCTGCAGCTCTAAAAGAAAACAACCAATGCAACCTGCAGTCTGTGATTCCAAAAAGAAACTGAAAGAACGTAAATCCAGTACAACTGAAACCCCAAATGTATGTTGCAATGCTCACACTGCCTGAAACTCAACAAAGCTTATGACATGCTATAATAATGGAAGGAAAGAATAGTGAAGGTATTTCGAAGATATTGGAAGCATAAATTCTTTTGTAAATGAAGTTCTAAGTGATTATTATAGACTAGGTTTGCAGATTTAGGCTGTCTGTTTGGATACCTGAAATGATTCATTAAAATGTAATGTTCAACCCAATGCTCCACTTGACCTAAGGATTTAAAGGGATTGTTCCTTTTTTTTTTTTTTTTAAATGATGCATAAAGAATAATTGAAAAGGTATCTTTTGTTTTTCCCCCTTAGAAAAAAGGAATGTCAAGGTCTTGCTAGAAGGCCTCTGGGAGCTTTCAGGGCTTGTTATTGTGAGCTTTAACTTCAATTATACATGTTAATCTTTGTTAATCATTGACCTTAAATAGATGTTTAAAGAAAGTTTTACATATAGTCTGACAAAAAATCCCTTCCCCTCTCAGTTGTTCAGTTCGCAGTCTCTTGTATCATCACCATTTTACTAGTTTTCTAGTAAACGTCCAGTAAACACAGAGTCTTCCAGCCTAAACAGAACCTAAATTTCTAATATAAAAACAAGCAAAAGTTTTTTAAACTTTTCAGACTTTTATGCATCAGAAATCAGCAACAAAATATGGAATCCTCCCTCCTCCTCACCCCCCCCCTTGTACATCACTTTTTAAAATGTATGTTTCCTGAACTCCTGACATTGTAGTTCACCTAAAGACAGATTTGAGTGTTAGGATCAACAGCAAGTATTTTTACATGAAAGGCCTACTTTATTTGTAATGCTCCTTTTCACATTTTTCTTACCATGCCAAATGTTTGTGGATTACTGTAGAGAATATTCACTTTAGGCAAAAGCTAGTACTAAACATTACACAGAACTTTTATGTTTTACCACATGAAAATAATTACAACCTTTTCAAATTTAGCCAAGACCAACTTCCTGGAGTCCAGACTAGCCCATTGGCTTAGCATACATTGTTCTACCACAAGTGTGATTCAGGATCAAGGGCAGCCTTGAGAGAAATCTTGATCATTAGACTAGTGGGGAACACTGAACAGCCAAAGGTTTCTGAGAGAAGAGTGAGATGTGCACCACTTACTGCCTATCCACTAGTACAAGGATCAAGATTCCTCCCAAGGCTGGTGATAAGCTGCATTTCCACTAGGAGGACTTGCCAGCATAGCTACAGCAGTACAGCTCTACCAGCAAACCATTTCTAGTGTAAACAAGGACAAAGAAAACGAGGACAAGTGTGTCTTCAGAGATCAGAACTACACATGTACACAAGCCAGCCACTCTACAGGACGCTTAACAATGTCAGCCTCTGATAACTCAATGAGGAAAAGTCTGAGCCTCTGATAAAACAATCTTTCTCTTTTCTTTTCTTTTCCTTCTGATAAAGTATATTTGTGTTCTGGAAAGGTGCCAGATTGACAGAACGAGAAACTGAAGCCCTGTTTATCAACACAACAGGTAGAGAAGGGGAACTTTTCCATACTGTTCCACTGCCAAAGTATTTCAACCCTACCTTGGAGGAATAACTGCTGGAACGACATCCCTTCAAAAGGGGGGAAATTAGTCCCAATTGTGATGGGTGTTTGTGTGATGGGGAGAAATATCCATCAATATATAGGCAGCATCTTTAAAGGGCCATTTTCTTCATAGCTTCATTGCACCATTTGAGGTACCAGATTTTTTTCATGACAATACACTGATGTCACAAACACAGGACACTGAACTCAATACAAAGTTCAGCATGAAAAGAGCTGTGAGCTGAAGTTTTCATAACTCCTTCAGTGCCTTTGTACTTCATCACTGATCACAGAAGCCAGCACATCATAATGGAAATAGTAGCAACTCTTTTTCAGTCATGTTATAGAAAACATGAGGCATGAATACAGGGGCCTAGTAAATCAAAAATAAAGTAACAATTTACTGTATATTTACAATATGCCTTGTAGGTTCACTCCCAATGGAATCATCATATTTGTCAAAGTTCAGACTTGTATCATAACTCACAAATGGGATTTAATTTAGAATTCTGCCATTCCAATAAAATCATCAAATGTAGCCTATTGAATAGTGACCGTTCTAAATCACTCTTAATATGCGTCCCTCCGCTCCTCCAAAGTACCTTAAATTGTATTATATAAATCCCAAGAAGGTACAGTCATAGACAGGTATAAGTCTCAGGTGGACTCCCACAATTCTACCCATTTACATATCTTTTGAACACTCCATAAATAAGAACTTTAGGGACCTACATTTTCACCACACATATTAAAGACACTTTTTGTTCATGTCTCAGCCAGCACATTCCATATGCCACAATATATCTGCTAAAAACCAATAATGGAAACATCATTACCAGGCATGGCCCAGAAAGTGAAAGAAGAATCAAATGGGCAGTTATGTTTTTTTCCTCCAGCACAGAGGAATGACTTTTCCCCTAAAAAACAGGATTAGCCAGCAGATGACATGGACCATCCCTAGCATGAGGCCTGCTGGGAAGGTTTTATAAAGTGGCAACAGGACACCTTCTGTACTACTAATCATATATACATGGCTGTATATGGCTCTTTACAGACCTAAAGCAGGACAGACTGAAAGGGGACCTAAGTTACATGCTAGTCATATCTATGAAAGACCAAAATTCTTGAAAGAATTCAAGAAAGTTGCCTGCCTGGCACTTTGCTGATGTCACAATTATTCCACCTGGGGGCTCAGAAACAAGGTGTGGTAGTATCAATTAAATAGAACATCTGGAGGGATGGGCAGAGAGAGACATTGAAGTTGCTCCCTTCAGGAAATTCTCTACAATTTCTAAAGGCCATGGAGAAGCCCAGACAAAGGTGTCAAAGCTGGGGGGGGGGGGTGGGGAGGCGGTAACACATGGGGATGACTAAATAATAATAATGTGATGACTAATACAAACCACAGACACACACAGATGGGGACCCCACTACAGAGAGCTATTCAATGCCTTGAAACGAGAATACAGATGGGATATTTTGGGATGATTTAACGACTGTCGCCACCCCTACTAAGCCACTTGTACTTGTAAATCAGGAGCCAGCCACCCCCTCTGTGATGCAGCAAATACAGTCACATGCCTGGGGGAGGGGCCCCTCTGACAGGGGAAGCACCCCCGCACAGCAAGGGCCACACGCTCCTGCCCTGAAGCAATCCAGACTAGGGTGGGGAAGGGGGGTGGTGCAGCCTTCGTGACAGGCCCGAGAGGAGACCAGTAATCCCAGCCCCAACCCGGCTCTGCCGTCCCTGGCCTTAGCCACCAGGCCCTGCTCTGGTCCTGCCCAGCCCCACGGTGTAGCCCAGACCCCGGCCCGGCCTCCTCCCCCGGGCCTCACCCCGCCCGCTCGGCCGCACTCACCCCCAGAAGCCGCAGGGGCACCGGGGCGGCAGGCTGGGCGCCTTGCTGCGCTCGCTGCCGGCGTCTCCCATGGCAGGTCCGAGTCTCCGGCGGGGCCGGGGCGGGGGGTCGCTAGGAGCGGAGGGTCCGGGGCTCGGAGCCGGGATTCCAGGCCGGTCAGCTGGAGCCGGGCGCTACCACTGCGGCGGTAGCGGAGGGGACGGAACGGGAGCAGCAGCCGCGCCCGGCGAGGCCTGGGGGGACACTGAGCTCCGGGCGGCGCCCCTCCCTCTCAGCGGCGGCTGTGACGAACCTACTCTCGCCGCGGGACCGCGCGCACCCCCTGACCCAACAATACCCCCAGCTCCTCCCCCCGTAGTGCGCGGGATGGTATCGCCCGGCCGCTCGCTCAGGTGGGAGTGGCCCGCACCATCGTCCTCCGGTGGGGGAGGTTGGAATAAAGCAGGGGCGAGGGCCAGGAGACGGTAACTGCTGAGGGCGCCGAGAGCCAGGACTAACGAGTCGCATCCGGCCTCAGAGGGTTCAGGGGCAGCGGGGACAACAGAAGTATCTAGAGAGGCCTCCCTCCCACCACATGTACGAGATGGTACGGCCCCGAAAGATGGACCTCGGCCTGAGATATGGGGTGAGGGTTGGCGGGTGGCGCATGCGCGATTAGGGGGAACCCGGAAGTGGCAACGGAGCCGCCTGGTCGCGGGAGGTTCCCCCGGCGTGAAATCCAGCCGCGGCATCCCACTGTGGGTCCGGCGTCCCCTACTCAGACCCCGCCGCCGCCCGGGGCCTCGTGCGCCTGGAGGGGCTCGTGATTGAGAGGCGGGTCTGCGGGCCCGGACTCCTGGGTTCTCCGTCCGGACACCCCGCCCCCACCCCCACCCCGTGTGTGACCTTGGGCTGGTGCCCGTTGTCCGCTCAGTGCCCGAGCGATGCTGGGGCCGGTTCGCTCCCTGGGGTGCCCGACCCTGACTCTCATCGATCCCCTGAACCATTTCCCGCAAGACCCAGGGTCTTTGTCTGCCTCGAGTCGCTCCCCCCCCCCCCCCCGCTTCAGCCCAGACCCCCTCCCCACAACACGCCCCACTGCTTAGCAAGGGTTTAATGACCCCAGAGGTGTGTCTGGGGACTCGTTGTTCCGCACGGTGTGGATCCTACCCGGTCCCTTCCTTTCTCCGTGCTCCTGTGAGTTTCATTGTCCTCGGACAGGAGCATTGGACTATCTGTCATCCTCAAAACTTTCCCCACTCCATACCCCAAATTCTGCCAAAAGGCACCTAAACCATCCAGAGGTGACTAAAATTAAATGACAATTATATTTAAACCAATCTGGCAGAGGGATTAGCCTCTCAACCATTTGTACTTTGCAAGTACAGAATCAGATTAAATTTGGCCCCCAAATGTAGGTGATGTAAGAACAAACCTATACAAATCTAAGACCACAACAGATATTTCTGAGAAATAACTCTTAATTTTCAATTGCAGTGGAACACAATTTTTTGTTAACAAATAAATATTAATTTAGTATTTGCTACTGAAAGAGTGCAGCACTGTACAAATGATTTGTGGTGTCTATACTTATGACTATGTTTTCTGCATATTGCATCCTTAAGATTAAAGATTACCTGCTTGTCTATTGGGAGCAGGGTTGAGAAGATTCAAGATAGTGTGACTTACAAAGTGAGAGAGAGAGAGACTTTGCTTTCTCTTTCCTGGACATTTTCTAATTTTTCTTTGTTTTCCTTGATGTAAAATAAAAGTAATCTAGACTGAAAATGCATATATTTCCTTTATGTATGGCAAACATAACACACCGCGCATAAAAAACCCAGCCTTAAACTGACATTGAAGAAGGAAAACTGACTAGTCTTTCTTCTTGTCTGAGCTGAACAAATTGCAAAAAGTAAAGCAGCATAAACAGAAGAGTAAAATACATTTTTAAAATAATCCGTTACAAGTTTAGAGCACTCTAGCGATAGAAAAATGGGACATTCTAGCATTTAAGTATTTGAACTGGAGGTCAGGAGACCTGGACTGTGTTTCTGACATAGACTTGGTGTGTGATCCCAAATAAGTTGTTTCTGTGTGCCTCAGTTTCTCCATCTGTGAAATGGGAATAATGATATTGACTCACTATTGTAAAGCGCTTTTTGATCCTTGGATGAAAAGTGCTACGTAAGTGAAAAGTATTAGTATTGTGATTAACAATGTAAGGTCATTTTAATATAGTTTATTATGGAGATGCTGGTTGCAATTCCATAGTTAAAGTTTTTCTGTTTTGCATTTAAAGCAGGGTTGGATTCAACCTTTTTATGTTGTATGATAAATACAGCATATCCTCTCCAAACTTACAGCACTTGCTCTTTGAGTACAAGTAAATCTGATCATTAGTTTATAAATTACAGGGTAAAACTGGATCCTTTAAGAATTTTATCATCCTATGTCTTTTCTTTGTCTTGAATTATCTTTACAATGGAGTAACACAAATACTTCATACTTTTTGTCTAGTTAACATTAATTGAGATCTTATCTATAAGCTACATTTTGAGAAATTAAATTGCAATTACACTACATTATTAAAGATTGGTGAATCTAATCATTATGATTATATAGGCTACAGACCGGCTCAGGTCAACAGTTTGGGTAACACTTTATGTAGGGCCATTCTGACATCAGAGGTAACTCAACCAGTCACCATCTTTCCTCTACTGCTAATTTGAATGCAACAATTTTATTGGTTGCAGTGACTGGTATGTGGGAAATAGAACACCTGTCAAGAGTTCTTGCTGAAAACTGATCCAAATGTCGCTTCTCTTTAAAGATCTGGTGGCTGTATACTAGTCTGGGCATCAGTGCTTTGTCCTCACCCACAACTATTTCACATTTGGGGACAATATATACCTTCAAGTCAGTGGCACTGCTATGGGTACCCGCATGGCCCCACAGTACGCCAACATTTTTATGGCTGACTTAGAACAACGCTTCCTTAGCTCTCGTCCCCTAACGCTTCTACTCTACTTGCGCTACATTGATGACATCTTCATCGTCTGGACTCATTGAAAAGAAGCCCTTGAGGAATTCCACCATGCTTTCAACAATTTCCATCCCACCATCAATCTCAGCCTAGACCAATCCACACAAGCGGTCCATTTCCTGGACACTACTGTGCTAATAAGCAATGGTCACCTAAACACCACCCTATACCGGAAGCCTACTGACCGCTATACTTACCTCCATGCCTCCAGCTTCCATCCAGGACACACACCACGATCCATTGTCTACAGCCAAGCTCTAAGATACAACTGCATTTGCTCCAATCCCTCAGAAGGAGACAAACACCTACAAGATCTCTATCAAGCGTCCTTAAAACTACAATACCCACCTGCTGAAGTGAAGAAACAGATTGACAGAGCCAGAAGAGTACCCAGAAGTCACCTACTACAGGACAGGCCCAACAAAGAAAATAACAGAACGCCACTAGCTGTCACCTTCAGCCCCCAACTAAACCTCTCCAGCATATCATCAAAGATCTACAATCTATCTGGAAAAATGATCCCTCTCTTGGGAGACAGACCAGTCCTCGCTTACAGACAGCCCCCCAACCTGAAGCAAATGCTCTCCAGCAACCACACACCACAAAACAAAATTACTAACTCAGGAACCTATCCTTGCAACAAAGCCCGATGCCAACTCTGTCCACATATTTATTCAAGTGACACCATCATAGGACCTAATCACATTAGCCATGCCATCAGGGGCTCGTTCACCTGCACATCTACCAATGTAATTGCTGGCACAGGATGGCATATATGCCTCTCTGCCATGTACATTGGTCAGACTGGACAGTCTCTACGCAAAAGGATAAATGGACAGAAATCTGATATCAGGAATCATAACATTCAAAAACTGGTAGGAGAACAATTCAACCTCTCTGGCCGCTCAGTAATGGATTTAAAGGTGGCAATTTTGCAACAGCAAAGCTTCAAAAACAGACTCCAACAAGAAACTGCTGAGCTTAAATTAATATGCAAACTAGATACCATTAACTTGGGTTTGAATAGAGACTGGGAGTGGCTGGGTCATTACACATATTGAATCTATTTCCCCATGTTAAGTATCCTCAGACCTTCTTATCAACTGTCTCAATGGCCCATCTTGATTATCACTACAAAATTTTTTTTTCTCCTGCTGATAATAGCTCATCTAAATTAATTAGCCTCTTACTTCACCTTTTCATGTTCTCTGTATGTGTGTGTGTGTGTATATAGATATAGATATATATAATCTTCTTACTATATGTTCCATTCTATGCATCCGATGAAGTGGGCTGTAGCCCACGAAAGCTTATGCTCAAATAAATTGGTTAGTCTCTAAAGTGCCACAAGTACTCCTGTTCTTTTTGCGGATACAGACTAACATGGCTGCTACTCTGAAACCGGTGCTTGACAGGTTCTTTGTGGCACTGCAGCTTGAGCACCCCTGCACACTGAGGCAACAGTGCCAGGAGAGCTGTGGCAGAAGCCTAGCTATGAGCTCCTAAACCACAACATTGGGACTCAAAGTGGGCTCTCAGTCTATAAAGCACCAGTCTCACTCACACAGCACTCTAAACCAATAAGACAATTTCAAATTAAGAGCCAGATTCCCCAATATGCTTTGGCTATTTGCATCAATTTAGTGATGCATCTTAACTGGCTGGTGCACTCTGGCTGCTTTGTGCAGCTTTGGTGCCCATACTGGGGAATCTGTCCTTAAAAGTTATTTTTAAAATTACATGAAGTTCATAGTACAGATCTTTGTATAATTGGAAACATCACCTGGTAGACTTCTCTTTGGGTTTCTTGCTGTATCACTGAATGGCCTATGTAAATGTGCTATCCACCATTGTGGACAGGGCCTGTAGCAGTTACGCACCAGATTGTGGACAATGTAGAGTACTTAACTTTAGGAATGTCCTTTGACCATACGATAGTTATGCTAAAGAGTAACTGCATCCTAAGGGAAATGACTTCTTTCCCCCTCCCTCTGCAAGGAGCTGGCATTGGGAGAGTGGAAAATTCCCAAACAAGACAAAGCAACAGACATGACAAAACAGGTGTTTAAAAAGGACTCATGGGAAAGGACTGAGGAAGACAAGCCAGAAGTTTGGGCAAGAGGAAGAAAGGGGTTGGACTAGCCAAGCTAAGAAA